GTCCACTTGTGGATGAGTCCCCTCCACTTCCAAAGTGTCCAGTGAATCTTTTGGTCCTCAAAAAGTTGACAACATCAGCCATTATCTCCCCTTGCTTCTTCTTACCCTCTTCAAGATCTTCTATTTTATTGTTTTGCATTTGTATTTGTTCCTTCTGTGTCTCTATTTGCATCTTAAGGCACTTCACATAATCATTTGTTTCAGCATATATGGTAGTGGTCCCCCTAAGAGTGGATGAAGGTCTCATGCCAAGTCCCTTCACATAGCCAGACCTTGGCTTTAGGACTTTGATTGACAGCTCTTCTGCAGTCAAAGGGGTTGATCCCGGCTGTGAGAGGTGATCAGCCTGTGTCAGTATCATATTTTCCTATCAAATATAAAAAAAAATTAAATAATTATTAGAAAATTAAATATGATCATAACAAATAGTATTCTAAAATTTTGTTAATAAAAATTGCAATATATACTCACATAATTACACTAAGCTTGAGATGAGATCCACACATGTGTTTTCTCATTATAGTGAGTTTCCTTGTACAACTCTGCTAGATCAGGTAGCATCTTCTTTTCTCGTGCCTAATTCGATAGGCCAAACATTCAATAAATAAAGCTAAGAATCTAATATAATTCTGAAAGTGCAAGGACATGTACCAGTTTTTCTACTCTAACAAGGATTGACCTAGAGCCACATCTATGTTTTGTATACATCCTTTCTCCATTCGCGATGTTGGCCTTTGATTGTTCCTATAAGGAAGAATGACCAATATAATAATGAAATGTATCATTAGTAAGACAAATATGTTGGCTTTTGATTGTTTTTGTAAGGAATAATGAACCAATATAACAATGAAATGTATCACTAGTAAAACAGATTTAATGCTTGATAATAAAGAAATTGCATTGTTCCTCTCTATCATTTTCCTATATATCATTTCAACTTAAAAGATATTTCAAATTATTCACTAGTTTCATTCAATTCTGTGAAAAATAGATTAGAGGACTTGTTGAGATTTCATCATAAGATGGTTTTTCTGGGTGAAAAAAGAAAAACGAGTAATTTACACCGTTCACAAATAGGGGGCATATAAGCATGGGCAAGATAGATTGTGAAAAAATCCATTTACATTTCACAAGATATGGAACAATTACTGATACCAAACTCATAACCCTTTCTTTCTTCCACAACTCTATCAAATCTAAAGTTCTGTCTCAATACCCTGTATTAGTTACTTAGCTAGTTGCTTACCATTATCATGAAACTTCATACCAAACACAAGAACAAACAGAAAATACAATCATAGAAATTGAAATCTTAGTTCTTTATTCTATGATGTGAAAGATGCACTTTAAGGAACCATAAATTAATCTCCTATTATGTGAGCCTTCTAATCCATGTTTAATAGTTTCCCTTTCTCATTTTCCCACTTATTTGGTTTTTATTATGTTCCACTTACATGCCTAGAAGATAAAGGGAAAAGAAGACATGGAATTTCACAGCAAATTGATTGTGTTCTTTCTAGTTTTTTTAAAATCTCTCCCTATTCTAATCAAATTCTTTCTTCGTTGATATAATAAAAAAGATGAAAATGTTACCAGAAATTCTTTAGTGTTCCACTTTTTATCAATAAGATCTATTCACTTGATAGGATCAACATTCTTCGGTGGGTGGTTTCTTGCATACTCCTCCCCTTTAGCCTTTTTCAGCTCCATGAATTGTTTGTGCAGCCTATAGGTATGTTTACTCAATCTCCGACCAAATTTTATGTTCATTGCTTTCTCTATATCAACAGGGTCTCCTTGTAAATCAAATTGATCCTGCAAAAAATAGATAAGTCATAGATAATTCTTATAAGAAATAAAATAATTACAATAAATAATTAAGATTTCTAACCTATTATAAAAATGAGTAAAATGTCCTATAATAGAGTAGAAAACGAACTTACATTCAAGCGTTGAAACATCGCCTCCTTAACGAAGGCATCAACATACTTCCATCTATGAACACTTGGATCTGGTAAACGAGTTCGCACTTCTACACCAATCTTTGAGGCTAGTTTTGAGGCATAGTCCCCTACCGGTGCACAAAATTCTGGAGGGATAGGCACGCTAAGCTTTCCATCTCTATCAACAAGGCCTTGAACCTCTTTGCCTCGAGTCAGGCCACGAACACGCTTAGCAACTGATATTGTGAAGCCATAATATTGAAATAGTATGTGAACAAATTTAATTAAGATCTCAAATCAATGTAAATAAAGAGTGTGTCTTACCAATAGTATTACCAGCAACCACCTCAATTTGAGGCTCCACATTGAGAGGTGGTGGCGGATGGCTAGCCACCTCAGGACGTGAAGAGGTATCCCCCTCTTCTGATGTGTGGGTCAATGCCTCGTGATGAGATTGTGAACGGGCTCTCGATGGTATCTCTAACAACTGAATAACATAATAAAATATGAATATATGTAGATAGATATACATGTCTATGTGTGTATGAATTGAAAGTAACAAGAAAGAATATATTTCACAATGCATAAATGTATAGTACCTCATGCTCAAACGAATCATAGGATTCAGTGTCACTGCTATCTTCTGCCTCTGACGGTCGATAATCATCGTCATTTTCCTCAATTGGTATTTGTTTTTCCTTTCTCAATTTCTTATGTTGAACCGCAGCCTTCAAACAAGTTGTTATATTCTTCACTCCTAGAGCATTCATTCTCTCACGGTTTTTATTAATATTCTTCATTCTTTGTTTCTCATAGTTCGTTACCTTCTTAGTTGCGGTTCTTGGTTTGGTCAACTATTTTTTTGTAGCGTCCATTTTGCCCAACTATAAAGGATAATTGAACATTTTTTTGGTGGATACGTATAATTGAACATTAGATGTAAAGAAAAGATAATTATATATTTCTATACATAAAGCATAAAACAACAACAATCTCAACAAGTGGACATGTCATATTGGCTCTAAATCATTGAAATATGGCTAGAGTGAGATGGATGATTTTTGTTTTTACTATTTACTTATCATAGAACAAATTAATTATAAAGCCATCAGACACATAATATGACCAATCAACGATAAACCTACATAACAGTGGATGAACCCCACAATTGAAATTCAACTACATTAATTAAGAACAATGTTCACATAGAAAGTGCAAAATAACTACAAATCCTAGTCTACATCAAGATCCATATCGTAATCCACATCAGGTTCGTCACACTCTTCATTTTGTTTGTCAGCTCTATTCTCTATCATTGTTTCATTAGATGACCTAACCCTTGTAACAACTTCTGCTTCAACACCATCTCTATAACATTGAACATTAGGGCCGATGTTAATTGGAACAACGTCGGTAATATTTTCTTGTTGGAACACATCGTTTTCTTTTGGTTCATCTAATGATTCTCCATCACCTACCTCTGGTACATCAAAGACACCCCTATGTTGCACTCGTTGAACAACTTGCCAAGGTTGTCCCCATTTGGTATCATTTAGGTAAAAGACTTGTTTTCATAATTTGCATACAAAAATTTAACTATTTATATTATTTTATATAAAAATATATTATTAATTTTTTTACATGTCGTGCATAGCATGGGTTACCACTAATTTATATTTATGTATACAAATACACATACACGCAAGATAGAATATCCTGATATATAATTCATCAAAGATGATCAAAACAAGTGGTCATCAAAGACGATCAAAATAGGTGGTCAGAAACTAATTGGAATTAAATAATGATAAAAATAACCTCATCACAAAAGTTGGAATTAAATAGTTGGAATTTTGCATCTTGAAAAGTAAGAAAAGTTATATTTAAATAAAAAAATTAAATAATAATTATTTAAATTAGTATTTAAATGTGAAAGACCTTCGTTTGAGATTTTGCTTGGGTCTCAAAAATAATTCATTGAATTGTGTCTTTAAAGGGAGGGTGTTCTCATTGGTTAAGAGTCTTGAGATAATCATTTTGAATGGATATTAAGTAAATTATTGCACTAGATTATAAATAAATAAAAAAAAAAGAGAAAACTGATTTTATTGAAGTCAGGGATGACATCCCGATTACATAGGCACAAAACAAAAAGGGGGAGAGGGATCTTGTTTTTGATAACAGTCACATGCCAACTTCACTTACTCGATCAAAGACGATCAAAATAGGTGGTCAGAAACTAGTTGGAATTAAATAATGATAAAAATAACCTCATCACAAAAGTTGGAATTAAATAGTTGGAATTTTGCATCTTGAAAAGTAAGAAAAGTTATATTTAAATAAAAAAATTAAATAATAATTATTTAAATTAGTATTTAAATGTGAAAGGCCTTTGTTTGAGATTTTGCTTGGGTCTCAAAAATAATTCATTGAATTGTGTCTTTAAAGGGAGGGTGTTCTCATTGGTTAAGAGTCTTGAGATAATCACTTTGGATGGATATTAAGTAAATTATTGCACTAGATTATAAATATATAAAAAAAAAGAAGAGAAAACTGATTTTATTGAAGTCAGGGATGACATCCCGATTACATAGGCAAAAAAAAAAAAAAAAAAAGGAGAAGGAAAAAAAAAAAAAGAGGGGGAGAGGGACCTTGTTTTTTATAACAGTCACATGCCGACTTCACTTACTCGACTCTCTCGCCGAGCTCTTCCTTTTTTTGTCGCCTTGAGAAACCCTTGAAGGCTTCGCCTCAATGTGTACAGGACCGCTGAGAGAGTTGACTCCCTGCTGGTTGTCAAAGGCGAAGTACGAAGGTGCTCCGAATCGAGTCAAGACGGTAATCTTTCGTTTCAACTCCTTATTCTCCGCCTTCAAGGCACAAATCTCTGCCCGTGCATCTTTGTACATGCGCTGGAGCAGAGAAAGTTGGAAATTTAACTGTTGTACTTCACTGGTCCTATTCTACAACCGGTGAGATAATTTGGTAACCGCAGTCATTGTTTCCATGCAAGAGCTTAGTGTGAAGTGGTTGGCCTCAATGTCAGATTGAGCAGCCATGATTTGCTCAACTGACATCATGGGAAAGTTAAGAAGAGTGGGAGCAGGACACTCGGTCCAGGAAGGTTAGGAAGAGTAGGAGCAGAGGCACTTGGTCCAAAAGAGCTTGGATCATTGAGGTCCGGAAAGAGAGTTAGAGGACGAGATGAGGCCATGTGTAGTAAGAGATGTAAAGAGAAAGAAAGGAGAGTTAGAGAAATAGCAGAGAATAGACTAAGTTTGGGGACAACTTTTCTCCTTTGTTCAATCTCTATTTTTCTCTCGATGAGGAAGAAGAAACAGAAGCAAAGTGATGAAGAAGAATGAGATGGAAAAGAATGATGAAGAGGACGGAAAAATGAGTGAATAAGTAGAAGAGGGAAGATACTGATTGAGAAGAATGCAGAAGAGAATAAGACAAGAGGGAGAGAGAGCCGAGGCTAGCTTACAAATCGAGGAGGTCTGTTTTTGTCGGCCAACTGACGCTAAAGCAAGGCCGCGTGTCAGACGCAGTTTTCGAAGGAAGAGAGAGAAGCGAGAAAGTTGTATACATATATGTATGTATCTATATTGTATATTTATGCATTATATACATTTATTTGACTATATCTGGTCACAAGAGTGACTTGGGTTTAGTGGTTTGGCTCAGTGGTTGAGGGACCAAGGGACAAAGCCTGAGGTCAGGGGTTCGAAACCCCGTATCCCTGCATTCGTTTTTTATTTCATTTTTGCGTGTTTTGCTTACGTGCGATGACGTCAGCTAACGGAATATTTCATCGCAACAACGGCATATGCTCACTGACGTCCGTAGACAGAATATTCCTTGTCAGTAACGGCATATTCTCCAAATGTGTCTGTGTATCTTTTGTTCGTATTTGTCCCTTGGTGAAAATGTTGTGGAGACACCACAGGGTTGAGGAGGCGACTTGGGAACGTGAGGCTGAAGTCCATGAGAAGTATTCGGACCTTCTTATCGATGTTTGGGAATTGTGATAGAAATGTTATTTTGATATTAGGATGTACATTGTATATGTTATGGAGTAACGGTAGTTATTTTGGCCTTGGGGTGCGTTGTGCATTAAGTGATGGAGATAGTTCGTTGAAGTTGGGTTATCACCAATAAGGTATGGTGTCTTAGTATTTTGAGGAGATGTTTTGTCAAAATTTGTGTTACGCTTAAGGGATTAGATCCTATTTTTGTTACTTTAGGGTATTGATGTGGATAGAAGAATCACTTGATGGTTTATACTAGTAAGGGTTTTTATAACCAATTGTGGTGCAAAAGCAATGGTTTAGTTCGTTACCGGTGTGACTCGTTGAGACTCATGTAGTAGTCGAAGAATTTTTGTTGATGCATTGGTAAGTACCTAAGATAGTTTGTGGGTGACTGTAGAATATATTACATTACTTGAGTTAATTTCGAGGACGAAATTTCTTTAAGGATGGTAGGTTATAATGACTCAAAAAAATAAAAATAAATAAAATAAATAAAAGAAGAGAATACATGCATGATGATGTTTTGATGGTGGAAATAAAATAAACAAAAGATGGAATATAGATTATGATAATTTGGGGGAGCTCACAGATGGACATTGATCAAAAGGGAATTGAGTGGTTGACAGAAAGAATCTCTAAAAGAAAAAGAGATAGTCATAATAATAAATAAATAAATAAAAATGTTAGAAAAAGGGAGAGACACGCACATGGGGAGATAAGGGTCAACATTGTTTTAAAGTTTAAAAAAAAAAGATAAAGAATAAAGAAAAAAGCAACACACAACACCCACATTTCACTGAACCCTTGCAAAACCACTAATCAACCCCCCTGTTTCTACAAAACCTTGGCTATTAGAAACCTCAGTAGATAGGAAAACTAATTACACCCTCCAATTTCTAGTTACAAATGTTCCTATCTACAGCATTGCTAGTGGTAAAGGTTCCTATTACTTCGTAGAATTTGGTATTTCTATAAATTGTTGGTTTGTTGCTTTATTGACCTTTCCATTAAATTTAATTTAGATGTTACTGGAGGAGGGTTGAGTTTGACATTCAGGCACTGGGCTAGTAAAAAGACAGCAGGATCCACAAAGAATGGGCGAGACTCGAAACCAAAGAATCTTGGGGTGAAGAAGTTTGGTGGAGAGGTGAGTCAAATACTGATATCATATTTTTCCTATTCGTATAAAACTTTATCATGTCATTAAGTATATTCTCATCAATGTACAGAGAGTGATTCCTGGGAATATCATTGTTCGCCAAAGAGGAACCCGCTTCCATCCAGGAAACTATGTCGGAATGGGGAAGGATCACAACCTCTATGCTATGAATGAAGGTTGTGTCAAGTTTGAATGGCATAAGTTGAGTGGACGAAAGTGGGTGCATGTTGAGCCCAAGGAAGGCCATCTGCTCCACCCTGCCTACTCAAGTGTTGACGCAGTTCCTAAGCAGAAGACCACTGCTTAGGTTTCTACTTTTTTGTGTTATCATGTAATGTTAAATATTTGATGCTCTACTTTAGTGGCCTGAGCTTGTACAACTCATGCTGCATCTGAATTTTTGTAGGCAAATTGTGGTACTTATCTATTGGACTAAAAAAAATGGTTACCTTGGCATGTCATATTGATCAAAGAGAGATGTTTTGCATTTATCTTTTCCCCGGCAATAGTCAGAATAGGAAGGTTCTGCAGGGGTCGTAAATTGAAGTGCTTTGGATTTTTGCATGTTTTGCATTTATCTTTTCCCTCTTTTGCTTGATATATAGTATAGACTAGCCTATCACCCGTGCTATGCACTGGATAATTATAAATATTTATATTTGTTTTAGATTTTTTTTAATATATAAATTATGTTTTTTAAGATTAATTGAAAAAAAAATAATAAATGTTGATCAGGAGATTTTGACTAAATCAATAAATGCTGAGTTCTTTTTTTTTAAATAAAAAATTTAGAAAATTCAGATTGGGATATTGAAGCTCCCACAGGCCTTGGGGGTTAAAAACCCCCCATTTGCTTAATATATAGTATAGGTAGATACTAGCCTATCACCCGTGCTATGCATGGGATAATTATAGATATTCATATTTGTTTTAGTTTTTTTTAATCCATAAATTATGTTTTTTAAGATTTTTTATAATAATAATTTAACAATCTCATGACCAAAATAACTTAATAATAATTTAATAATTTTAGTTGTTGCATTCCGGACTTGGTTCCGTAGATGTGGGTTGTTGCATTTAGCTTGTTTTCGTCCTTCAATACTTTGTATTTGAATTATAGGATGTTTTGGGCAGTTTCAGTTCAGGTTGGTTGTGATTGGAAGCATATGGTTGCTGTCCAGTTTTTAGCCTCTTCGCTCGAGCCAGGACTTTGTCAATCGAGCGAGCCTTGTGTTGTTGCTTGCTCGCTCGAGCGAGAGTTTGTACGCTCAAGCGGGCTTTTCGTGTCTTCAGGTTTTGTTCAGACGCAGCCTTGGCTCGAGCGAGATGTTCTTCGCTCGAGCGAGCGAGCTGTATGTTTTGGGCTTCTTCACTCAAGCGAGCGTTTCTTCGCTCGAGCGTGCTTCTAGGTTACAGACCTGAAGCTTCGTGTTGTTCGCTCGAGCGAGGTTTTTTTGTGTCTGGTCACTCGAGCGACCACTCCTTCGCTCGAGCGAGGAACGTATATGTCAATTCACAACAGCAGCTTCTTCTTCACTTTTTGATTTTCCCCTTTTGTCTCAAACCCTAGATTCAACTCTCTCTTTCTCTCTACACTCACCTTCTCTCTAGGGATTAATCTAGTTCTTGGGTGTTCCTACCCTAATCTCTTTGTAAGAAAGATAGAGGGTTGCGTGGGCTTCGTTTTGATCCGAAAAACTTTGGGATTGAAGCACTTTCGAGTTTGGCTCTTCTTCCCCTTGGGTTCTCCATTTGAGGTAGGGATTCTCTTTGTTCTTTTTCAATACTCCGTCTATGGATAGACATGTGGTAGTTTTGTATTGCTTGAAAATCATATCATGTTGAATTTCTTTGAAAACCATGTGAGGGAACCTAGGATTGGTTGTTTGAGAATGATTAATTTATCATTGATAGTTCTTTGGGTTAATTGGAGTGTAAATTAGCATGTTATTGTGGAAAGAAGAAACAGCCCTAAATTATATTTTGTTTTGGTAAATTAAAGAGGGAGGTTGATTGAACAATAATTGTAAATTACTATTGTTAATATGAGTTGGGTGAAGGTGTTAATGCCTAAGGGATTAACTATGGCTTTTGGGTTGCTTTGAAATGAATGTATTGAACCGAGTTGGATTATGGCTTTTCTTATCCATGGAATTGGTTTTGTAAAATAAAAAGAATGGAATTGATTTTGTGAATGGGAAAAGTGTTTTGGGAAATAAGTGGTGTAACTTGTTGACTTAGAAAATTTATGAAAGTTGACCTTGAAAATGGAAAATGAAATGTTAACTCTATGTGAGTCTCGGAGAATGAATATGGAAATTAAACTATTATGTCTTGAGTATTGAATACCCACATTTGGGGTTTTACCTTTACCTATTGTACTAGCGTTGTTGTTGGGTTTAAGATCTCATGATAGTTAAGTCTTCTAATAGGTATACTGAATACATGCATCTAGAGGTTTTGTGCTTGGTCATCGGTGGAGGATGACATTGTTGTATTGAATTGTTGTGTTTGCATTATACCGGTGTTGATTGAACATTGTACGTAATGAAGTGCTATGATACATTATATATGTATAATTGTTAGGGAGAAAATAGGTGATGTACTCCAGTGTGTGGAAGAAGATAAGGGATGTACTCCACATACCTATGTGTTCATATACTTTAACACATTGCTTATGTATCTTGATAGTTTATGTATGTGCATTACACTTGTTGGTTATGCTCTGTTGTATTATGATTATTGGTATTATACACTGCGCTTATAATCAGAGGTATTGTTACCTTCCAGCTAGCGCCTGGAGAACTGACTGCGCTTATAATCAGAGATACTGCCACCTTCCAGCTAGCGCCTGGAGAACTAACTTAGCCAATAGAGTAGAGTTTTATTGTTATCGTCTCAGTGTATCTGAGTATATCATGTATTGCGATGGTTACAGCTTTGGAGGGTCGAGTTGCCTTATTTGTTGATTATATACATGTTGATGATTTGTTATCTCATTTTTATTAAAGGCATGCATGTATAGATATGAATGTATTGGGAACAAACCAAAATGCCATTGTGAGATTTTGGGAAAGTGTGAAGGAAAATTGGGTATTTGAAAGTATGTTTGAAAAAGGGAAAATCTGATGTAAGTATGGAAATTGGGAGAAAGGTAAGGAACTTGGTGAAACTAATTTCTAGAATTGTTTTTATCATGAAAGTTGGAAAAAAGGGTAATGAAAAGAAAGGAAAGATGAATCGCTTATAGCGTTGAATGAAATGGTTGTTTTTTAGAAAAGTTCATACTTATGTATATTTTTGTATAAACTGCTACATTAGTATTCTAGTATGAGATTGAGCATTCATGATCATAGCTATCTGTAAGTTGTTATTGTTGAGGATCATGTTGAGATCCCTATTGGACTATATGTTTATCCCACGTTGTTAAATCTTTTTAGGTGTTAAGCAGGATATGCTACAATATTTGGATCTTCTTATTTGTTGGTCACGGGGCCTCTTTTGTGTTGGCGGAATGCCATTTATGTAAAAGGGTTATACCCTTCATCTTGACTTATTAATGATGTAAGCCGAAGGGCAATTTATTTAGTATGTTCATGTTGTATTTAATTTGCATACGAACGAGAGAATTGTTATTCATTTCTACTAGTCGACCTTTTGAGTTTATTTCCACATGTTATCTCTGAAATTGAATTAAGTTAATGAATTTGGTAATATTTTCGAGTAATAAAAAGTGGGGCGTGACAATAATTATTTGTATGAGGAGATTTTAAATGCGGATCAGGGAATTTTAACCAAATCAAAAAATGCAGGCATATGGAAAGACATGTGGATTGGAAAAAGTTAATAAATGCTGATCAGGGGATTTTGATCAAATCAATAAATGCTGAGTTTTTTTTTTAAATAAAAAATTTAGAAAATTAAGATTGGGAGATTGGAGCTCCCACAAGGCTTGCAGGTTAGAAAAAAAATTAAGAAATTAGAAAATGAGGATTAGGATATTGGAGCTCTCACAAGACCTATGAGTTAAAAACCCCCTTTTGCTTAATATATAGTATAGATAGATATAGATATGGCACATACCATTTATATGACACAAGGACCAAAGTACTAGGACAATTGCTGCAATTTTCCCTCATCTAAATTAAAGGGATTTAAAAAGTGAAAATATATGCCTAAGGGATTAACTATGGCTTT